CAATGCCCAATGAATTTGGGCATTTCATCCCTGGCACATCAGAAGGGAAAGCAGAGGTGTTTGGGCTCCAAGGTGTGACGGGGACACCTCACCTGCCAGGCACAGCATGACCGAGTGCAGCACCAGCAGCTCCCATAGCAACCTCATCTTCAGCTCCAGGGGCAGGGACAGCCCAGGAACCTCAGAGCAGAGCAGGGATCCTTGGCAACCTCAGGCCAGCTTCAGTCTGTAAAACAAAACACATTGCAAGGACATTCAGGGGTGCTCCTGCTGACAGCTGGTTCTTCCTTTCCAGGAGAGATGGATCGAGGATCAACAAAGAAGCTTTGGTAAATGTTGTATTGCACTAAGACACGAATCTTACAGGTAAATGTTGACTTTCACATTTACCTGTAAGATTACACAATCATTTACACAATCCTTCCCAGCAGTGGTTTGTGACCAGTTCAGGTGTCTGGGTGGCAGGTGAGGATTGGGAGCTGTAACCTGGAGCTGTGAAATTTCTGCTGTCTCTTACCCTCAGGAGAGTCACTCCCTGCCTCTCTGGGGTGTAATTAGTGAACTCTGTAGATTAAGATGAAAATTGGAGTAATTTTCTACTCTGTAACTTTTCTGTGCAAACATCATCCAGCAACACTTTGCAGGAAAGCTTCCCACACTGCTCAAGGAAAGGGACATTTCCCATTCCACCTCCATCCTCACTGCTCTAAAACTCTGTTTAAAAATCCACCTTAAAACATCTCCAGGTAAAAATCGATCTTCCCCTCACCCCCTATTACAACCTGTAAATAATTAGAATTTGAGAGCAATTTAAGACTTTCTCTGCTGATCACTGCAAACTTCCACCATCCCCCTCTGAGCAACCCAAGAGGGAAAAAACGCCTTCATTTATGAAAGGAACCACTCCAGAGCAGGCATTTAAATATTAAAAATAAATAAATCAGGCCAGACACACATTCTTATAATTTATTCATCTCAGTGCAGACTGGAAGTTCAGGGGCCTTCGTGCTTACAAGACAAACTGCATGAGTAATAACAAGAGAGGGCTCTGCCTGCTTTTGTGAGCTAAAACTGGGAGAATTCTTTTAATAAAGTCAGGTTCAATGCACTGGGAAGGCTGAGAATCTTTAGCCTCTGATCTGAAGACGCAGCTTTGAAGCAGGGAGAGATTAATTGCAGAAATTCATCTGTTCTCACACAGACTGATGGGGCGTGCTGGGGGCAGCACGAGTGGCCAATCAATGAATACTAAACTATTTAAGGCAGTGATTAGAGTATTAATTATTAATTTTGGAAGGAAAATGTCTGTATTGATTGACATGGTGAAGCAGTTACACTGATTATAGTAAACTCCAGAATTTTTTTTTTTTTACCCTAAAGTCTTGACCTGTGGAAAAATATTAATTTTCCTCCAAGAACCAAATTCTCTTGATTATAATAGCAGATGCAAAAGAGATTTCTACCAATTTTACACCAATTTAAGTGAAATTTGAGATAAATCCTGGATTTCAGCAGCTGCTGAAATTCTTCCCTGTTCTCTTTTTCCCATGAATCATTCCCATCAATAAACCTCTACAAAGTTTCTCTTCCTTACCCTGCCTGAAGATGCTTTACAATTATTCTCCTCTCTCCCTGCAATGAGCAGAGAAATAACTCACAGCATTTGATACCTCATTAAAAACACAAGGGGTTGATAAGCTTTTATCAATTTAACCTACTGCCAGGAGCCCATGGGGAGCGCCCACAGACTGGGAGGACTCAAAAAATTCCCTTCTTTTCCATAAAGTCAAAAAAATTCCTGGATAGTCTTGAATTTATTACCCCTCCTCAGCTCTTGCCACAGCTGCCCCGACCCAGCATCCATTTGGGGAAAGTTGTGGCTACTGGGAGGGTTTGCAAACTCATTTTTTGTGGCCTTCACATTTTCAGAAAAAATCCCTTTGCCCAGGATTTTTCTTCTGGGAAGATAAGAGGCCTCAGAAAATGAAAACAATTCTTATCTCATTTGCTTCTACTGTGTTTTGCTCAAGTAAAATGTGTTTAAAAATTCTTTACCCAAAAGTAAAGAATTAAACAAAAGTAATTGTTTAATTATTTTCCAGCGTAAGTTATTTTAACTCATTGGCCAATTGAGGCCAAGCTGTATCTAGACTCTAAAAAAAAATTCACAAATTTTTCATTATTATCTTTTTAGCATTCTGTAAATATATTTTCTGTAGTCTTTAATACAATAAAGTATAATAAAGCAATAAATTAGCCTTCTAAAAACATAGACTCAACTACATCATTTCTGCCTTCGTCAGGGCTCCCTGCAAATACAATAATTTTATTTCTTTTTCTACTCAGGAAATAATAATTATTATCTTCAGTAATTCAGCAGCTGCCCCAGAGAACAAGCAGAGGGTCGTGCCCGTGCTCCAAAGCAAAGTTTGCACTCCTGATGCCTGCACAGGGCAATGCAGGACAGAAAGCTCCCCCAAAGAGAAACGATGCCTGTCTGGGCACAAACAGCCCTGAAGAGTAAATGAGATGATTACCACTGCAAATATTTTCCTAGGGTTAAATGATGGTGGCTCTCAAGGCAGGGCTGCAATTCCATTTCTCGTGCTAGTTCCCTATTTCACATGTGAATGAGTCCAATTCTCAGAATGTTTCCCTGTAAATATTTCTGCTGCTCACATCAGCAGGGCCTTTGTTCAGAGCTCTGCAAGAACTGTTCAAACACATTGACTTTTTATGGCAGCAGCTTTAGGAAAAGCAACATTTGTGCACAAGCAAAAGGTGGATAATTGAAAAGATCCTTCCCATTCCTAAATGTTTCCTGACTACCAAATCCCAGGGGAGCTCGTGCTGCTGCTGAAGGCCTGAAAACTCACAAAGTTTAATATTTCATTTCCAGAAGCAAGCAGAGGCAGTTCCAGGAGTACACAAGTTATTTTTTCGAGATGAAAATGAGATTGCTGAGCTTCAGTCTGGAAGTGCAGCCCATTAGAAACCCCAGTGCCACCACACGTGTGCAGATGTCTTTTTAACTTCACTTCTGGCAAGGCAGCCATTGCAAATTCTTTTGAAAGGCACCTTTGCTCCTAATTGGATTCTGCCAAAGAAACTTGACTCTAAGAGCTCTGACTGCAGGCAGGTAGGAGGGGGAAAGAGAAAGTGTGGAGTAGAAATATTTGTGGTGAATTTTTCTGCATTTGTGGGCATGGCTGTGTGAGTAATTTTGCTTGGATGTTTCATAATTAGCAGTTCTGTAAAAGCTAAATAGAAATTAAAATCCTGAGGCTGATATTTCTATGGATGCAGTCGGAATGTGAAAAATACTTTGCAAGATAAATTTGTACTATGTGACCTGTTTTTGTGAATAATCTGAAGGAAAACCTGCAGGACACACCTAAGGTTGATGCCTTAGGATTTCAGCTTTTTTATTTTCCATCTATTTGCAATTCTGTAATTCTTTAGTGTGTAACTCCAAACTCCACACTCAGTGGGAGCTGCTGCTTTCCCATTTGGGGCAGACACAACAATTCCTCTCCAGGCCTGGAATCAAGGACACCTCACTGCCTCAGGGCCAGAGATGGGAACAAAAGGGAGTTGGGGGAGCAAACTTGGGGTCAATGACTTCATTACCTGGAGCTGGAATGGGCAGATTAAGCCCCAATATGCAAATGGACCAAACTTATAAAAGTGTGAAAACCTCTTGACCCATTGTCCATTTTTGGGTGTAGCCCTAAATGTACCTGAAGGCATGTTCAATAAATGATCAATAAATAGAACAGCTTTTTATTCCCTTAATTCTGCCTGGCCTGTGGTTTTAGGTAATCCCAAAAAGGCCCCAGGACCCCAAAGAGCTGCAGCAGCAGCAGGAGCATCCTCAGCCCTCAGCTCCCATTTAGCTGTGCCCACTGGTGTGCTGCAGAGTGCCAGCTCTGCTCAGCTCGCAGATAAATCACTGCTAATGAAGCGTGCTGCACAGACAGACAGCAACAGGCATCCTGTCATCACCTCGGCTCAGGGGGGGCTGGGGGGAGCACAAAACACTCAGCACCAATGGGGCACTCGTTAGGCTGGAGGTGATGCAGCCCTGGGGCTGCCACAGGGGTGACCCCAGGGCAGGAGCAGGGAATTCACTGCTTCCCTCCTCTCCCACTTTAATTCATGCTGCCAAAAGCTCCTCGGGGGCACCCAGCTTTTGGCATGGAGCAGGCAAAGGAGGCTTTTCCCAAAATGACAGAAAATTGCCTTATCTGTGAAAGGAACTGAGCAGAGCTGTCCCAGAGGAGCAGCACCTGGGCACAGGCATGGCCCAGACCCAGCAAAACTCAGCCTTGTAACCCAGACCCAGGAAAACTCAGATTTGTAAACCAGACCCAGCAAAACTCAGCCTTGTAACCCAAATCCAGCAAAGCTCAGCCTTGTAACCCAAATCCAGCAAAACTCAGATTTGTAACCCAGACCCAGCAAAGCTCAGCCTTGTAACCCAGACCCAGGAAAACTCAGATTTGTAACCCAAACCCAGCAAAGCTCAGCCTTGTAACTCAGACCCAGCAAAACTCAGCCTTGTAACCCAGACCCAGGAAAACTCAGCCTTGTAACCCAGACCCAGCTCAGAGCCCTGTGCTAAGCCAGGCCTGTGTGCCAGCAGAGCCCAGGCTCTCTCCAGCAGCTGCAATCAGTGACCTGCAAAGCTCAGCAGCCCAAAATAGAAGGTGCCTGAAAGAAATGTCCTCAAAAGTGCAAATTTCACAGCAGTACTTCTTTGACATATGCACATTGATTTTTTTTTTCAGCACTCAAAGAAAAAGTTGGTTTTTTGTGGTTTTTTTTGTTTTTTTTTTTTTTTTCTGTGGGAGTTGGCTTTTTTGGTCGTTGTAAGTTCTTAGGTAAACAATAACTTTCCCTTTTGTGTAAGGAAAAAACCAAACCAAAGGGGGTTTTGAAAAGAAGGCTGGGGGAGATGAAGGGCAGTGGGCACGTGGCTGTGGCAGCTCCCACTGAGCTCTCCTCACTCTCACAGCACCTCTGACAGACCCTGGTCTGGCACAGACCTGAAATGATCCCTCCTGAGATGGATTCACACACAATTCCCACGCTGTGCCCATAAAACAGTGACACACACAGAGCACACTGTGCCTGTAAATGGGAATCACAGAATATCCCAGGCCCCAACAACCCCACCCTGTGTCCCTCAGAGTGTTTCCCAAATGGCAAAATCCACTCTGGGCT